TCCCCATATAGCGATCAGATCCAGTACCTCCCGTACGGTCCATGTTGGTGCTCTTTTTTTGATTATCAGCTTGCATGGTTACCTGTGCTGATGAGCTCTCTGTGGTCACCTATGCTCTCCTGTGCTGGGCAAACAGGAAATTAAATTCAAATGTTCGTGGGGCTTTTCCTGTCTACCTGGCCAGTGCATCCGAGTTCAGATTGCTGTCCAGAGCATTCACAATGGTGCACTGTGGGATAGCTCCCGGAGGCGAATACCATCGAATTGCGGCCACACTAACCCTAATTCGAAATGACAATATCGATTTTGGCGCTACTCCGCTTGTCGGGGAGGAGTACAGAAATCGATTTTAAGAGCCCTTTATTTCGAAAGAAATGGCTTCATTGTGTGGACGTGTGCAGGGTTAATTCGATTTAACGCTGCTAAATTCGAATTAAACTCATAGTGTAGACCAGGCCAAAGACTAACAAATTTATTTGAGCATATGAACAGCCTTCCAAGGGTGTAGTGGGGGCAAAAGACATATCTGGCTTCAAGACTAAGCTTGAGACATTTATGGAGGGGATGGTATGATGGGATAGCCTAATTTTGGCAATTAATTGATCTTTGATTATTAGCAGGTAAATATGCCCAGTGGTCTGTCATGGGATGTTAGATGGGGTGGGATCTGAGTTACTACAGAGAATTCTTTCCTGGATGCTGGCTGGTGAGTCTTGCCCACATGCTTAGTGTTTAACTGATTGCCATATTTGGGCTCGGGAAGGAATTTTCCTCCAGGGCTGATTGGCCCTGGAGGTTTTTCGCCTTCCTCTGCAGTGTGGGTCATGGGTCACTTGCTGGAGGATTCTCTGCATCTTGAGGCTTTTAAACCACGATTTGAGGACTTCAATAACTCAGGCATAGGTTAGGGGTTTGTTACAGGAGTGGGTGGGTGAGATTCTGTGGCCCGTGTTGTGCAGGAGGTCAGACTAGATGATCATAATGTTCCCTTCTGACCTTAAAGTCTGAGTCTATAAGTGGGTTTTAGCCCATGCAAGCTTATGCTCAAATAAATTTTAGTCTCTAAGGTGCCACAAGTATTCCTTGTTGATTCAGGTTGGTATTTTGACTCCTTTTGTACATTGTCAAAGAGAATAGCACTCTTAGAACCCATAAAAAGGCATAGGAAATAATAAATGAAAAATACACAAACAAAACTATATGTGAGTAAAGAGCATAGCAGCAGCAATTGAAAATACTTCCTATTGTGGTATATAAATTAATAAGCTATTGTCACTTTTCTAACTGTTTTCTTTATGTTTTCTGTATGCAGCTGCATCAGCAACAAGGAGAAGAGATGCATTATGTGATCTGTATAAATAGTTTTGAATTATATTCCAGGAGACTCCTCCTATGTTGAGGTTGTTGTTAGTAGTAGTATTACCATAGAGAGTAGGACCATATCATACCAAACAATTTATTGTAAAAGGCATTTCCACTATCAGGCATAAGCCAGATTGGAAGCTAGAGAGCTGCCTGTCTGTGTAAACCCGTATCTTCATGATCAGTCAATTCTGCTTCTCATGTCACAATTTTGTTACAACATTCTTTAACTTATATGATCTTTATCGTTTTACTTCCAGGTAATAATGAAGATGAACAGACAGTTGCAGAAATCATGAGAAGGCGTTTTTCTCCTGCTGTTGTAACTAACAGACCCTGGGAAGGTTTTCATTTTGCTGGCCATGAGATAAAAATTATAGAAGCCACCGAATGTTATGGGGCAGTAGTCTGGCCATCGGTACAATATTTATGCAATATTATTGTTTTTCCCCCCCCCTAAAAACTCTAGCCCTTTAAATTGTTTTGCATATTTGTTGTTCAGTCCTGTAAAAACAAGGGAAATGTTCATCATTTTCTCTGTCTCCTCTTTGCAACCCACAAATCTTTTATGTTAGAGCTGTGCAAGTGGGAGCTGTCCACACATCCACAGAATTAATCATGAACTTGCTGATGCACAGGGCTCCCTAGTCCCTCAGTTGTAGCAGGTTCAGAAGGAAATGGGGGGCATTGTCTACACAGTTGCTGAAAGCACAAAAACTGAAAAATGATATATATATCAT